ATGTATATTGACAGTGTTTCTATGGGTATATACTGTTCCACTGTTCTTCATGTGTAGGTAGACATAAATTTATGATGTATATTGACAGTGCGTCTATGGGTATATACTGTTCCACTGTTCTGTACGTGTAGGTAGAGATACATTTATGATGTATACTGACAGTGCGTCTATGGGTATATACTGTTCCACTGTTCTGTACGTGTAGGTAGAGATACATTTATGATGCACATGGGACAGTGCGTCTATGGGTATATACTGTTCCACTGTTCTTCATGTGTAGGTAGAGATACATTTATGATGTATACTGACAGTGCATCTATGGGTATATACTGTTCCACTGTTCTTGTTCTGTACGTGTAGGTAGAGATACATTTATGATGTATACTGTAAAGAACAGTGGAACAGTATATACCCATAGATACACTGTCAGTATACATCATAAATGTATCTCTACCTACACGTAAAGAATAGTGGAACAGTATATACCCATAGATTCACTGTCAGTATACATCATAAATGTATCTCTACCTTCACATAAAGAACAGTGGAACAGTATATACCCATAGATACACTGTCAGTATACATCATAAATGTATCTCTACCTTCACATAAAGAACAGCGGAACAGTATATACCCATAGACGCACTGTCAATATACATCATAAATGTATCTCTACCTTCACATAAAGAACAGTGGAACAGTATATACCCATAGATACACTGTCAATATACATCATAAATGTATCTCTACCTTCACATAATGAACAGGGGAATAATATATATACCATGGGTGGGCAACCACATTTTTTTCCTGGCCATGTATGTAGCCAGTTGATCACAGAAATGGCCACACTATCAATACAACAAAAATTTTTGCTAAATAAATTTATTTCAGGATTCTAATGACAGTCAAGGTCAATTATAAACACAACACAAAAGTACAAAAAAATACTTTTTAAAGTTACAAAAGCATGAAATTTTATTGAGAGATTTGGCATTCTTTTCCTCTTACCAGCTAAAAAAAAACACTCGATAATTCTACGAGTTGGCCACACATTTTTGTGAAATGAGCACACATGGTCATTGGCCAATGGGCTGCCCAAATAGTGTATATATACACCCATAGATACACTATGTAAATATACTTGCAACATTATAAATGTATTACTAACTACATGTAAGGAACAGTGGAACAGTACATGTCTGTGTAAATATATTTGAAACATTAAGTGTGTCACTACCTACACATATAGGACAGTATAAATCCCAGCTTTACACTGTCATTAGTATAAGCATGAGATTTTTCACTTGTCATTTATCTTCATTTCAAGTCAATATTATGAAAACTGGGCTTTCTTAGCTGATGAAGAAAGAAGCAGCATGCTACCTACCATGTCTGCAGGTAAGAAGGTTATATATCACATATATAATAAAGCAAACAATGTACTTTGGTCTAAAAATATTTTTCTAATAATGAAACACTGAAGTATTCTTTATAATTTAAGTTTTAGCCTCTTGTGAAATATATTCTTTCCATGAACCACTTGTCACTTTGTTTCTTATCACAGAAATAATGGGCATAAACCTAAATTTATTTTACAGTTCCATATTATTTTTGATGAGATATATAGAAGTTTGTATCATTACATAATGTATGTATAGAGATTTTAGTTATCTTAATAGGTTTGATGTTTAAAAATGTTTATACAATAACATTCTAAAGTTGGATTTTTTTATATTTTATACTGTAACCTTCAAATGTTGAATTTTTTAAAAGTTTATGTAGCAGCCTTCACCAGTTAGAGTTTTGGGATATTTATACAGTAGCGTACACAAGTTGGGTTTTTAAAAAGTTTATACAAGAGCCTTCATAAGTTGATGTTTTTTAAAAAAAGAAGTTTATACAGTAGTAGCCTTCACAAGTTGGTGTTTTAAAAAAGGCTTATACAGTAGCCTTCACCAGTTGGAGTTTTGGGATATTTATAGAGTAGCGTACACAAGTTGTGTTTTTAAAACGTTTATACAGTAGACTTCACAAGTTGTGTATTAAAAAAGTTTATACAGTAGCCTTCACAAGTTGAAGTTTTGAAATGTTTATACAGTACCCTTCATAAGTTGAATTTTTAAAAAGTGTACAGTAACATTCAAAACTTGGAGTTTTGAAAACTGGAAAGAGCATGAGTGAAAAATCAACACAAAATGGTGTTACCATATAAGTTGTATTTCTATCAGATGTGTTGTGGCTGATGCACCATCAAGTTGGTCCAGTGTTTCCTTGGCAAATTATTAAAGTTTAGTTATGAAAAAGATTCTAGAACCGTATTTTGTAGTACCTTCATATATTATGGTTCATTTCTTTTTAAGTCATAGTTGTAGAACTGTTTTCAGGGTATTACTCTATCAGAACAAAATTTTATATACAATCTACACCTAAATTTATTGTAAATTAATAACCAAGTTTGATCAAGATCAATTCACTTGTTTCTCTGTATTGATCCAAGAAAGTGAATGATGGAAATATTTGACAAAATAACTTTAGAACCTCAGTGCCCTATTGCAAAACCTTTGAATTTGCTGTTGCTGAATATGCTGGTAACACAAACCATATTTGACTGGGCTAGAATAAAAAAAATCAGTGAGAAGTTATATTTTTTTCAGAAATATTTTCATTTTACTTGTGCATTTCAAAATCTACATAAAAAAATAATTTTCAACTATATCTTTAAGTTATTCTAAGAGTGCCATAATTTTTCAGAACACTTGCTTCATAAAATTTAAAAATATTCATACACACTTATAAATATAACTTTTACAATATTGCTGTTATCATTTATTTTTTAATAAAGAAATTAGTTTTATATTTTTTTTCTATGTTTATCTAATACTTCGTGTATTGCAAAACATGGGCACTTGTTGACTCTGTGAGATTTGGAGCTAGTAAGTCAGGTTTCAAATCCAAGTAATATCACAAAATATTCCTCACACTTTAAGCACTGGAGGCATTTTAAGAGTGACAGTCAATCCCTTAATGTTGTTGGTAAGGTTCTACTGACAGGCTACCTTCTCTCTGGTTAGTAATTGAAAATTAGGTACAGTAGCAGAAAGCCTTAGTGTATTTGCCATGAAAACAAAATACAGATTTACTAAAATATGTTTATTACTATGTCTCAAGTAATTTTTCCGTTATAAATTATACCTGAATATTAAAGGTTTACCTGTGATTTATGTATGGATTGAAGTTCTAGGATTATAAGAGTGATCTGAGACAGAGTAATTCTTGAGAGAGAAGCAACTATTGGGTATCAAGTCATTTGATGCTATATTTTTCCTTACATTGTGTATGTGTATAATGAAATAAAAACTTTAATAAACTATTTTTCCCTGATAAAAAAAGTAAATAACAGATATGATTGATTACTATCGGGAAACTTCATGTGGTAAGAATTTTCTTACTAACCTTTATTATGTAGTACTAGGAATGACATTGCTAGCATTGATAGTGTATTTTTATGGAACTGTGTTCTCCATACTCTGACTAGTGTTTTTATGGTTTCTCTGTTATATGATTTATTGTAGAATAACAAGAGAGTAATATTTTTATTATTGTACTAATAAGAAATAGTCAGTATATTTGTCACAGAAATCTTCTTAATTTAAGACTTTGCTCTTGTATCAGCACTCTTTACTATTATCTATCATCAAGATTCTGTGTTTTTTTTCATGTATGTTTTTCTAGCTTCCACTGTATTTTAAATTTTGAGTTTGTGTTTTTTATGTGAGAATTGAATTACTTTCTATCAACTATTCTTCATAGTCTACACTGTTATTTCTTTAATAAAAGATTTAGTTTTGTTCATCAATGAGTCGGCTTTGTAATTTGTTACCTAACATTTTATGAGGTATTGGGGGGAATATTTTTATATTCAGCATTTGATGATTTCTCATCCAAATACACAACAAATATTGACTGTGTTTCTGCAGTATTAAATCAAAGTTCCTGGGTGTTAGGCTTGTCATTCTTGTGTAATTTTAGTCAAATATTATTCAGAAGAGGAAAATAGCAAATGCACATTTATTTATTAATCTGAAACTCCAACTCTTTAGATAAATTTAGTGTAATGTTAATAATATTTTCTGTGAATCTGTAAATGTTATTATATGTTGTGATGAAATAAAATGTCTTTATGTAATGCTGGAGGTAGACTATTGCTCTTAATCTTCAGATATATATATATATATAAATATACATGCATACTTTTGTGTGGGGTTTCACATATTAATTTAATTGAAAAACTTGTCACCCAAGCATAGAGCTTAGCCACTAAAGAGTAGATGTAAATTGAAATCCTAACTGTGCTGTATAAAAAATGTCCATTTCAGAACTACTCAGTAAAAAAAAAGCAGAGTAAGAGCCAAACCATAAAACATTGTAATAAGGTAGAAATTAGTTAATTGATAGCATGTGTGTGTGTTGTTCAGACATCTAAGCATTACATTGTTTGGATTCTGACCATCCCAGTCTTAATGTAATACCTGTTGTTGTTGAGTAAACAAAGGTCAAGAAATTATCCAATTGTTGTAACATCTTTTAAAATTACAAATCATGTATTCTGAGTACATGATAAAGACTGCTTTAAGGGTTTTTGGATAGTAAAAGTTTCAGTAGTGTGTTTGATGCATTTTACAAGGAATAATATATTTGAAGCTGTCTGATGTAAAAACTGATCATGGATGTATATATGTTGCACATAATTTTAATCGTGTTGCTGCTGTACTTACGTGAGGTGTAAAAATGCTTGTTTTAGAAGCAGTGGTAAATGTTATTCTAAACATTTTCTTATGGTTGAATGTATTTCTTGAAATGTTCTACCTACAATACATATTTTAAAGGCTATTGTGGTATTTTGAATTATTTTTGTTGTGTGCTGTAATACATTAATGTTCTGTAACTTTACATTTTAAAGTAGTAAATGTTGCTGTTTCTAAATATGGTTAATCTTTATGTATTATTTATTTCCTTTCATTCATAATAGGTTTGGGGTCTGTTTTGTTTGCCATAAACATTGACAATCCAGACTTGAACACGTCTCGCACCATTGTACAGAAAGAACCACAGCTATCTTGTACCGAATCACAGCATGTGAAACTCAATGTAGAACCTCTGCCAGTTGTTGTAAAGTCTGTTGGACGAGTACCAGGTGGGTTTTACTGTTCTCTGAAATCATGAGCTCTCTTTCAAATTGTATTAATGATTTTCAAAGTATTTTGGAATTTTATTATTAGTAAGAAGTTTGTCAAGAAAATGAATTAAAAATAATAATTTATTCAATTGGTTCATTACTCTTGATAATATTTTTCTTAGTTAAATTTTTTACTTGTGAAAATGAAAAAAGAATTGTTTTATTATACTTGAAATGGTGACTCATTAAAGAAGTACACTTGAAAATGTCCTCACATTTTATGGTATTAGCAAGACATTCATTGTATATCTTGTTTGTTTTTTTTCTTCAAAATCCTGAAGTAATTTTGTTTTATTCTACAGTTTTAGATAACTTGTCTGAATGGTTATTAATCAATGATATATAACCTTGAAACAAGTATATTCACCTGTCTTGCTGAACCTTCACTTGTAAGAATCATCCTTAGATATTTTTTGTGGAAGTTTAAGATAGTTCTTATTCACTCTTGTGAAAGTTTAAATCTCATCTTTATCACTCAAAACAACATTGAAGTCATCCGAAAATCTAAAGTTGTAGTCAGTAACTATGCTTAGCCTGTACATGCACTAGTTTTTCTGGGTATATCACGGCATTATTGCAACTCATATAAAACAGCTATTATTAGTAAAGTGTCACTGTATACATCTAAAGGAGGATATAATGTCATCTATGGATAATGGTTGTTTGTCCATCCCCAAATGTACAGGTGTGAATTGTCAGGTTTGTAGCATACCATAAAGTTTCAGCTTGCTTCATCTTCATGTAACTTCATCAGCCAAAATTCCACTCTAAAGCTGTTTTATGTGATTTTATTTAAATCTTATGGATGTTATAGGTAGAAGTTGTTTCTCCATTCACAGGTTGAACATGCTTTAACTGTACACTTTCTAAATATTGTAACATTTCAACTTGCTTACACATATCTTCTTGCCTTGAGATGTTATATACCATCATTGAAAGAGAATAATTATCTTGATTGTTTCTGAGGGTATAGATAGTGTTTGTTTGTACAAGCCAAGGTTATACAAACTTTAGCTAGTATTCTCTGATGATGTAATACATAGTGACATAAAAAACTTACTGCTGCTCGTATTCAAAAGTAGAATTAGTATTCTGAAGCATGTGAAGAAAATTGAAACTTAAACATCCTTAATATGAATACTTGTGTTATTGGTATGCGCATAAAATCAAGGATTTGATATTTTTCAATAAACATCTTTTCTTATGCATATGTATGTATGTGTGTGTGGGTGTGCTTATCATCTTTCAGATGCTAACCACAGTTCCATGTAATACCTACAGTTTGGCATTGTTATGAACTTCATGGAAACTATCTGTGTGTGTGTGTGTGTGTGTGTTAAACTTGTGTTTGCTAGTTTATACAGATGTATTAATGGAAACCAATAGGGATATATTAACTAAAGTTATCATACTGTTTTTTCTTTATGCTGAAGTAGTGATGCTAGAAGGTTTGTACAAGTTATAGGGTGTGGTGATTTAGCCTCTTTTATTAGAGGAGGTGGGGTGATTTGTTTAGATTTCATTACAGTTTATGCCAGTGATATTGATATATAGCTCAGTCACTTAACAATAACATTTAATAATTTTAGTTTTATATAATATTTATCTTAATTTGAGTTACAGATTTTGATGGTAATTGTCATGCTCTGCCTCAGTAGCTCAGTAATAAGCTTGAAGTCTTATAATGCTAAAATTGAGGTTTGATCCCTGTGGTAGCACAGTGCAGCTATCCCATTGCAGAATGACTGTAGATTGTTAGAGGCAATCATAATTATTTGCCCTAAACAACTTCAGGCTCATAACATTTTACTTCTGTTGTCATTTAATATTATTGTTTTATTGCTTTTTGAATCTTGTATTACTAGTGTAATAAAGCAGTAAATCATCCAGTGAGAGCATAGTGCAAGTTACAGTAAACAAAGTATTGAATTACATTATGGATGGCAGCTGCTTGCATGCATTTCTCATAGAAAAATGTTAATTTTTTTCATTTACATTTTCTTATCTAACCTAATAAGTTTTTAAATTTTACATTGTTACTTTTATATAATTAAATAAGAATATACAACAAACAGGAAATTTAGTAATTACGTCATCTTTTGCTGTTGAAACAAAACAACCTAAGTCTACTTTTTTGTAACAGTGGAAATGAATATTTATTTCAGATGTGCAATTTAAAAAACAAAATATTAGCATGCACAAAAAATAGAATGTCATAAAACTATTATAATTTAACTGCCATTTTTAACTAAGCTGTAAATTAGTTTAAAAATTCCTGTACGTGGTCAAGGTGAACTCCATGATAGCAAGTAATACAACTGAGGTCAGGAATTTCAAAATCTGTCTTCTGGAATGAGGTAGCCTTATAGGAATTGGGTAAAATGGAATCTTTTCTATCTATTGGTTATAAATAATCCAATAACAAGTCTCAGAGAGAATTATTGACATTTTTTTGAAAAACAGGATGTGATAGGAGAGTGTGATTGTGGGTTTAACTGTTTTTTTTTATATCTCGGTAAAGCAAGAAGCTTGGAGACTATAGATTTACAGTATGGCTTTGCATTATCTGTACTGTAAGTGTGTAATTTGTCCCAAATTCTGCAAATCAAATAGGGGTAGGAAGAAAATCTGAAACGGGCAGTTTGTAGCAAATAACTGTTATATGATACAGAGAAGTGAAGATTGATAATTTATTTAAACAGTATTAATATTTGAATTATAAAATATATTTTTGATATAACTTTGTAAAAGGGCTGTGACATGCTCACTTTGACCTCCCACCATACACATAGGGTTAAAAAATCAGTGGAGTGACATCATTTGTGTGCTACAAATTTCTCTTTTTTTGAAAAGTCTAGTTGCTTTTAAAAGAATGATTGTATATGCAGTTTCTACCAGTTATATTTAGATTGTGTTTTGTTTATTCTTCTGTTACATTTTGTTTTATTGCTTAGTCTCATAAACTTCATATTTTTAATCTTACAAAAACTGTTTTGAATCTAAAGGCAGTGTCTTGTTTTAACACTAGGTAACAAAACTGCTGTAAGTAACATTTCTTTAAACAACCTTTTTACTACTACCACAGAAAATAGAAAAAAGAGAAGGAAAAAACCAGTTGCTCAGGTTGTGTCTTTTGATGATGATGAGGTCAAGACAGAGGATGAAAGGTTAATTTTTTTACTTATTTTAGTTTACCTGAAAATTTACTAAATTCATATTGCTTTTAGTATCTCTCAAAGTCTGTGGGCATAAAACATTAAAGTATATAATTTCATATTTAAAAGTTCACTTACCATTAAAAATGTGAAACAGATATATTCATTTTGCAATTAATATATAATTTTGACTTTTTAACTGCAAATGAATGCCAGAATGATCATAGTTAGATAAAGCTTCAGGAACTGGTAAGATATCTGTTACTAATTGGTTTGTCAACTAACTGTTTGATGATACATGGGTGACTGACAGGCTTAAGGTTTGAACAGGTATCCTTTAGGTGACATTCCAGGTGATGGACACTAAATTTCTGTCTAATAGATATAGATGATTGGTACTAATTGGTTAGCTGACAGACTAGATGATTGACACCAAATTCTTTAGTTGGCAGACTAAAGTATAAATGATTGAAGTATAATTCATACTATGAAGCACTGATTTGAATAACTTAGACATTTTATATGATGAAAAAACTTCCATAAACTCAAGAATAAGATTGTTTATTTCACTCAATATTTTTTTTCTACTTCTTAAAGAGTGACGTAGTACTTACACTGCTAGATTCACAACGCGTAACAGACTATGCCATTCCAAAACCTTGTCGCACACAAAGCTATCTCAAGCCTTGTTTGCTCTGTAAGCATTGCTAAGAACATTTTTGTCACCAGTCTTTATACCCCATCAGTTTCATGCCATTTCTGAACATATACATTTCATATGACTACACTCCACCAATAGTATTGCACAATTTTTCTTGATTGGCACACCATTGTTTAGACCTGTTAAGTTTTTCACGTGTGGCTACCATTTATGAACGTGTTTTTTTGTCATTCCAATTTGTTTTTCAACAGTTTTATTTTACTGTGTTTGCATTCACACGTTCCAACAATTTAAAGAAATCGTAGTATGAACTTGCAATTAATGTAAGTGATGATTTCCCAGGAATTGGGTTCGACTTTATCTGCTGAGGAAGTACAAGCCTTAATTCATAGGGTGCTTGATTCGTATATTTAGCCAGCAATTTCTCCTCTTTTCATGTGACAATTTTTCTGAGAAAGAATAAAAACAATGAATAGACATTTTGGACTCTCTTTTTTTCTGGCACCTTCCACCTGTTGCTGTACCACCACATCATTCTTTTTGGGGAAGAATTGTTCATCTTCCCAAGGGATTTGTGGTAAGTTTTTCAACATGTACACCTGGTTGATATACCTGTGGTAGACACGGTTCAAATGCCCTTTGTGTGGCTTTGCACTTATTTACACATGGGAGAATAACGTATTTCATGTCATCTAAGTTATTTTAGATGAATTGTAAATTAGATGTTGATTATTACTTTATATATTTTGTAAATTTAATCATTTTGCACATTTCTTAATGATTATGTACTTTGTAGACTGCAAATTTCATGATTTTGTTAGTTTGTTATTAATAAGTACTTTACCTAGGTATGTTTAGATTATGTGTCAGTTACATATCATTACTACTAGTAACATCTAATTCATTGTCCTATTTGAGTAATTTTTTTTTGTCATTGTTCACTATGTGCCTTCTCATCCCCATTTTCATCAGTGAAGGACTTAATTAAGTGTCCTTTGTTGTCTAAGTTAACTTAGAGGAACTGTAGATAAAATATTGTTTATTAATGTGTTTTCTTGGTAATTTTCATGTGTTTACATGTTTATTATTATCATTACACTCTTTGTGGACTAGGTACATTTAGATAGTTTGTCCATTTCATATTTATAAGTACCTTGTTAAGTAGGTATGTTTAGAAAGTTTGTTCTTTGCGTATCATTACTATTAATAACATATAATTTGTTGTTCTATTTGAATTTTTTTTTTGTCAATGTTATCTATGTGTCTTCTTGTCCCCATTTTCAGCAATGTAAGACTTAATTCAGTGTCCTTTGTCTTCTAGGTTAATCTTAATGACTGGTAACTCAGATATTGATTATTTATATGTTTTCTAGATAATTTATGCCTGTTAGCATGTTCATTATTATTACATACTTGTGGAATAGATAAATTTTGATGGTTTGTCCATTTGATATTTATCAGTCCTTTGTTAACTGGGTATATTTTGATAGTTCTTACATCACATATCATTACTGCTAGTAATATATAATTCATTGTTCTATCTGATTTTTTTTTTCTATAAGTGTTAACTATGTGCCTTATCATAGTAATTTGGGACTTGAAATATTTGCTTTGTTACATCACTAATAGGTTCATTTATTTCCCGTTCATAGGGCTCAGTGGGGCTTTTGCTCCTTCATATACACTTGTGATCCTAGAAACCTCAATTTCTTCTGATAATCTACAATTCTGTGTTCCTCCCAACAGTGCCCACTTTGTCAATAACTATTTATTGCTCTAAGTCAAATTTTCCATTCAGGGCCATTCCATTTGGACCAACCTCGGCTCTCTAAGTGTTTTGTCAGGGAGTACAAACTCTTGCCCAACATATTCACATAATAAGTCTTTGTACTCTTCCTTCTAGGGATGACTAGCTCCTACCTGATTCCTCCTATTCACAGTCCTGAGACTACACTCCTCTGTTCCTACAGGATCCAGAATGGATGGGATTTCTGATGTCAGGGTGGAAGTCCATTTCTTCTTTCCAGCATCAGTCAGTCACAGCCTTTTCCTCATATTTGGATTGGGAGCGAGCACTTCACACGTCCCTCACCTCTTCTTATGGCTCGAGGTGTTCAATCTCTTTGGTGATATGGGCTTCCTTGGACGTTCTCATTACCATGGGTCAGGCTCATATGTATTCGCCTAAATATCTGAATGAAGACAACCACAAGCAAGGAAGAGAAGGAAATAGATCCAGAGGACAAGGAGGTAGATGGAACAGGAAAACAAAGGTTTAAATGGTGGGCAAGAAAGCATAATAGATGATGCTGAAAACTCAATAGGTAATTCAAAGGAATGGAAAAGGAGGGAATGGGTAGGGGAAGACAAAAACCAGATAAAAACTGGAGAAACAGAAGGATGTTGACAAAGCTGCTCAATAGCTAGACACAGACAAAATGGACAAGCCTCTGTCAAATAACTAGGTGAAGAATAGGGAAAGATGAGGAACGGAAGAGTGGAAAGGACATAATCCATTGTGAAGAGACCAAAGTCGGAAGGTATACAATCATCCAGGGTGAATGGATGTGGAAGAAGGTCCACTTGATCGGGAAAGGAAATATGAAATACATGGAGTCAGTCCCTGGACTGAGACAATGAACCTGAGAAAGGCCATGAATGAAGACAGAGAGTGGCGACATCTGTGGAACAAGGAACCACTCCTAGAGGAGAATCTAGTTGGGAGAAAATAACTGATCCACTACCAGGAAAAAAGGCAAGCAAATACCACATTTTGGTGACTGCAGGCCCAGACAGGAGATCCAGGAACTGAAAGCACAAAGACCTGGAATTGGTACTCCTTGGCTCAGTGATATAAGTGACCACTGTAGAGATGACAGAATGTACTATAACCACCATCTCCCATAGGAGACCTAAAATCACTTGGGAGTAGAGGTAAGAACCACCCAACCCTCTAAAGATGAGTACACGAACCGATGTAAATCCAGATGAGGTGGAGTAAGCAGCACTCCCACTGTAGTCCAGACACTGTTAACCACACAGCCAGGGGTCCAAAAGAAATTCCACTAATCAAGGGGTGTCTACTAAAGTTTTTTATATTACCTGCATTCTTTACCATTCCTCCTATGTCATCCTCTATCCTGACCAGTCCTTCCTCCCTTGGACCTATGTTGCCATTTCAGGTGGTTTGGCTTTCCCACCCATTTCCTCACCTTCCATTTCCCACCTGTCTCCCATTCCTATTCCTGATCAGTTTCCTGGTCTGGTTCACCCCTTAAAGAAGTATGAGATACATACTGCCTCATTTCCGGGTTAACATTCCCAACCTTTTATTCCTTGAAACCCCTCCATTTCCCATGGTCTGTCTCCTGTCACGCTTTTTTTCCACCTGTCCTCCCATTCCTATCACTGATTGGTTTTGTCATCAGGTTCACCCCTTAAGGAGGTATGAGATATATATTTCCTCATTTCAGGGATAACATTCTTGACCTTTTATTTCCTGGAATCCTTCTGTTTCTCTTGCTGTGACCCCTGTCACGCTCACTGGTTGGGTTCGTTTACTCATTTGGCTAGCGTATTTGGTTGTATCCATGGAAGGTAACCATTTCCACACCGTTCTTTTCATCAGATTCATCACATCACTATATCCTTGGCTGCAACAATTTGATGTCCATTGAAGGGATTGTTCAGGCTGGAATGGGGACTAATACCTTCATCATTCATTATCTGCATAACCTGACTGTATCTTCCTCTAGTAGGTATCATCGACCTCCCATTGCAATTATACACACATAAGTTCACCTTTGATTGTGTTAGTTTGATCACTTCCTTTCTTTTATGTTTTCTTTTCAGCTTCCCTAATTGTAAAATCTAGTTTACAGATCCCACCTTGTGTTGGGTATTGCCTGGTTAGGAATACCTTGCCTCAAACCCACACTAGTTTAGAGTAACTGTAGAGATCGGGTGTTTCTATAAGACCACTGGCCACTTACCCAGTGGTGTGCATGTGTGTGTGTGTGTGATCTCAATACCAATCAATTTGAATTTATAGTGGGAGTCCTAACTACTCCCTGTTCCCAGTCGCTGGAGTGGTAGACCATGGAGGCTTCCTCCCAAGTGAGTTTTGATATTTACTTTATAATACTCATGATTATCAACTCAGTGAGAAAAGGGTGAAGCTGGTTAAAGTACTTCTAGACAAAGTAATTTGTTCAATTTATCATGCATTTCTCGTAGATGATTTTACTAGACAAAATAACTTATTTGATTTATAAAAGGCATTTCCCCTGGATGTTTTTGCATGGGCGGACTGCACTTGACAAAATAAATTAATCAATTTATGGAGAGCTTC